AGATCAGCCGGCCGAGTCGGCGCGTCTCTCCTACACGAGTCACGGGCATATAGTTCTGGAGACGCTCGTTTTGAAAACAAATCTCGTACACGCCCGCCCCTCTTCGACTCAGTATGACGATTGTGGCTATGTTTTCGATTTTATTTAATTTTTCTACTCGCGGTCGTTACTCTCGAGTCTTCGGAGATGCAAAAAACGCCGTCGCTCTAGTCGGAGCGCGAGTAATGATGATGAGCTTGTGGATTTCCTCGGCGCCCGTTTCTTTTTCCTCCCTCCTTCTTCTTTGCATCGGGCCTTACGATGCGCAGATTAATGGATCTGTGATATCGGGCGCCCTGACCAAGACTGAAGCTCTAGAAGCCTTTCTTTTCTTCTTTTGCTCCCTTGCTATCCACTTTTCTTTCCTATATTCGTCTACGCCGAAGCCCCGCCCCCCCCCCCCAAATGGCAACGAGTCAGTCTCATCGTCTCATCCCTTGGTTTCTCAAAAGAGATACCTTTTTGGGAAGGTGGGTGTGGGAAAAGAAAGTTGCGGCGTCGTCACTGTAGAACCCACAAGAGCTCCGTTTGTTCTTTTTCCAAAGTATGTGGGGACAGTTGTGGGCGGAAGCTGTACTCGACTCGGGTCGACTGCTGTTAATATGCAACGATAATGGGAATGGGTAATGGGGTTGATGGTTAAAGTAATAGAGATCATATTGATGCGGTAAGTCACAAGTCATGACTGAGGGTCGAGAAAAGGGCGAATATCCCTGGTAATAATAACACGGCAAGCTGGTGCCAAAAAAAACATGGCCACCAATTTGGTAGCCGTCCCCGCTACCTCTTGCGGGGACGGCCTTGAGGCAACAAGAGAGGTGGTGGGGACGGCTACCAAATGGTGGCCATGTTTTTTGGTTACCGCTTGCACGGTAGAATCGTCAAAGAGATTTGATCAATCGGTGAGGCACCAGAGTAGTGTTGGTGTCGGATCGGTTTGGTAAAAATTGACGTATTCTGACTCGGGAATCACCACGTCACTACATGGTGCCTCTTCTCGCATCTTGGAGATGGTGTCCCCAATCTAGCACAACCTACCCTGCACACTCCCTTTCCCTTCGTTTCGGATGGCTACTCTCGGTGACTGGAGCGCATCGCGAACTCTAGGGTACCGGGCCAAGAACCAAAGTCTTTCTTTGTCACTAAAGATTAATTTGAATTGGCATATAAACCCTAGAAAATCTGATGGTCTACCAGCTTTTTTTATTTTTATTTATTTATTTATTTTCCCCAGTTTTTCTTGTACAGTCCCTTTTGTCAGGACAAAGTCACGTTTCCTAACGATAGCCATTGATTTCGTAACAACAACACCTGCAAAAGTAGTTCAAATGCCCATCAGTAAACCCCATTTCCACCAGTTTGGTAAAGGGTTGGCTGTGTGATGCAAGTTGTACTCTTTGTTTTCCTTTTGAGCTGGGCGCGGCTTCGAAATACTCGGTGCTGCTGAGAGAGCTGCGGACTCTGCCCTATGTCATGGACTCTGGTCATGTGGATTGGATGCAGGCCGTGGTGATGACACTATTCATTCCAGTGCCTGTTGACGTACCAAGAGTGCATCGCCAACTTGATACAACCATCCGTTTTCATTCAAAGATGCCGTCTATCATTACAATCCTGCCCATCTCTCGTCTTACAGTATACTGGTATACAATACACACAACTCCCACCAGCTACCTAAATCTGCAGAGACAGCTTCAGCGGCAGATTTCTGCTGCTTGTGCCGACCTCGATAGTATACGAGCCTCGCTGGAGCTGCCACTGCTGCGCCTCAACATTCCACACACTCAGGTCCCTCCGCGTCAGGGCAAACGTCGCCGTTCGCGACTCGCCCGGTCGCAGGCGCACCTTGTCGTAGCCGCGCAGCTGCCGTCGCGGTGCGCCCGGGATGCCCACGTACAGCTGCACCACCTCGGCGCCGGCCCGCTCAGCGCCCGTGTTATGCACATCCGCCGTCACGAACGCGACATTGTCCCAGAGGTCCGCGGGGCCACCAGGGATGACGGCGCCCGTGGGATACGCGACGTCGAGATTGCCACCATCGAGGCGCCGGAACGTGGCATTGGACAGCGCAAACGTGGTGTAGCTTAGGCCAAAACCAAACTCGAAGCGCGGCGTCATGTCCTCCTTGTCAAAGTGGCGGTAGTCGGTGTACACGCCCTCGGAAAAGTTAGACTGCGGAAAGAGGGCAAAGCGCCCCTCGGGAGTGCTGGGCTTGAGCGCGGGATAATCGGTCTCGTTTCGGGCGAGCGTGTAGGGGAGCTTGCCCGAGGGGTTAGACTCGCCGTAGAGTAGAGAGACGAGCGCGGGGCCCGATTCCTGCCCGGGAAGGTGCGCAAAGAGCACGGCGGTGACGTTGTCGTGCCCGATAAAGGCGTCGACGACGCGCGGGCCCGCGTTGTGCAGGACGACAATGGTCTTGTTGCAGCTGTCCGCAACGCTTTTGACCAGGTCGTCGGTGTACTTGTCTTGCAGCGCGGGGCGGTCATAAGCCTCGCAGGAAAAGGCGTTGCCAAAGACGATGCACACCTCCGAAGCTGGGTCTACGACAGGCTGCGGCGAGGCAAAGTCGTTGAACAGCGCTGTGCCGTCGCCGTGCGCGCGCATCTTGAGGGCCTCAAAGGGTGAGATGGCATTGGCCGGGGTGGTAGCGCCGGAGCCGCAGCCGCTAAACAGCGTGCCGTTGATGCCAATGGCCGATGCGTCTTTGGAATTGCCCAAGGCGGCGGAAACGGCTTTGTTGGCGTCAATCGTTTCGGCGCCCAGCTGCCACCGCAAGAGCCCGTCACCGCCGCCCGGGGCAAAGAAGTCGGGTGTCTTGGCCGAGTAGCCAAATACGGAAATGAGCTGTGGCTTCGCAAGCGGAAGAGTGTGCTTGGTGTTTTTTACCAGAACGTGTCCTTCGACGGCACCGTCAAAAAGCACAGGCTTGGCTGCTGGATCGCGAGCGTCGACAATCTCGTGCGGTTTCGTGATATCTTTTGGCATGCCAAAACCTGGTTTCTGGAATTCCTTGTCCTGCTTGAGCTGGTACCAAGAGGTGAGAATTCTGCATCACAAGTCAGCAAAAACAATAGACGAGGCTGAATGAGACGTCTACCTGGTGGCCATGTCGTTGATTCTCGACTCAGGTACTGAGCCATTCTTGACAGACTCGACAAGCTTGTCGCCCCAGAAGGACCCAGGGCTGGGCATGGCCATGTCCAGTCCCGCCAGAGCACCGGCGTGACCAGTGTGCTGGGCGTCCCAGTCAGACACGACAAAGCCCTGGAAGCCCAGCTCCGTCTTCAGCAGGCCGTTCATAGTCTTGCTGTTGGCGCAGCCGTACGAATTGTTGATGCGCTGGTACGAGCACATGATGTTGCCGGTCCCGGCGTGTACGGCATCTTGAAAGGGCCTGCGTACAATCAGCAAAAGTCATCAGGCACTTGGCGTGCTAGTATACCATAGATATAGCTCGTGCATCGTCTTGTCGTCAATGTTTGACGAAACAGACTCGGCTTTTTGACGGGGATTTCTGTTTGTCTCTTGCTCATTCCCAATAAAATGCTAGGAGCCAACTATGTTACGATAGGTCACTCAGTTTCAGCCGCTGGAAGTGACCGCTCACCTTTGTGCTGGCAATGACACCTTGACCCTGAATGCCCAGGATGCTTTGCGCCGCCAACGAACCCGATAAGTACGGATCCGCCGCGAAGCCCTCCCAGTTGCGTCCACTGAGCGTTACGCGCCAGGCCGGTCCGACGACGGGGCCTAGCAAGACGTTGACGCCCTTTTTCTTAAACTCGTCGGCCATGGCGGCGCCTCTGCGGGCCGTCAATTCCTTGTTCCAGCTGTTGACCTAGAATTAGCCCCTTTTCTTTCGATGGGACAGAAGAACAACAAGACTATAAATGTGCAAAGGGTAAAGACGCACCTGGATCCGACGTGTATGCCACTGGGAAACGAGCTCACAAAGTCGGTCGCGCGCAGGCCTTGGCCAGCATCGCTCAGGCACATGCCTGGGAAGCCGAGCCGGGAGATGTTGGCAATGTTGCCCGAGCAGCCATTGTCTAGGTCTTTAACGCCACCAGTGAGGCTGACCTTTTCCGCCAGCGTCATATGGGACACGAGATTCTTGGCTTTGGCGTAGGCGTCTACCCAGGGACCTGCGGCAGACATTTCCGCTGTCCATAATCGGTTAGCTTCGACTTGTCCGTCTCTTCTCCTGCGTTCATGTATTGATAGGGAACCCACGCGATGGATACACTGGCGGCGATTGGCCGTAGAAATACGTGTCGTTAGTAATGACATGACCAGAAGCTGCAACGGCAACGAGCTGGACCGCGACCGCGACCGCGACAACGGGAAGAGTGCTCGCAGCAACCATTTCCTCTGATTCTTGGAATCCAAGAATGCCCCTTTACTTTCGCGGTGTCCCAGAAGGAATGGCCGACCGGAAGGTGGACTGCAATGGGTGAGAAAAGGTTGCGACTCGGACAAACGAGGACGGCACGCGCATGCTGTTTACTCCTAGGCCCCCCTTCGGGAGCTACTTGCCGGTGCAGCTCGATTTGCGGGGAAGACGTAGTGGCGCAGCTCTGGCAGGATCTCGGACGAGATGGAAAGATTAATGCCGCGGACTAGCCTACTAAGTACGAGATTTTCGTTCGTACCCATCTTAATGCATGCTACCAAACAGGATGTGCATATTTGTCTACCTCAACTCATCCTCCTGATTGCACGCCGTTGGGTAAACCGTTGGAGTAAACCTTAGCTTGGCCGCCAATGATATTTCTGGCTCCTCCTTATTAAAGTTGGTGCTAATTAATATCTGCCTCGCACCCTGCCGCATGCAGAGAGTTTTGGAAATTTCTTTCGATCGCCAAGCTTTCAGGTCGTCGTCCTCAATAGTTCGTAATGTGGCGTCCTCGCCAACCGTTTGTCCTGGTGTGGCTTAAGTTAGTCTCGCCGACAAGAAAACGGTGGCTGGAACTTAGGATGCGCCACCAACCACCAACGGTTAGATCGACTATTTACATTTGTATAGTCGACGTTTCTATACCGACGCGCAGGCACACCAACCTGTTAGTGGCCGCTTCTGGTCGGCATACCCCGCGCAATATGTCAAAAGATGATTCGATAGCAAAGAAGCTGAAATGCATCTTGATGCATGGGAGTTCAGCAACGGCCGACCGCTCACCGTCCCATCAGGCGTTTACCAAGCTTTGCTCAGGGGAGAGCGCAGACATTGGGTGGTATTTGGCTGTCGGATTGTTTGCTTCGAGGAAAGAGACGTGTTCGGCGAAGCGCCGTGGCGCATTAGGACGGCAACAAAGTGTGCCTTTGTAGCGATGGTCAGTAGCTGCATGTGTCGGAGCCTGATAGTTTCGCGTCAGACTTATCCCCTCAGGCGCGCAACGACAAGAAACTTTCTCGACAACTGCTTGATCTCTTATTGCAACTTTCTGCACCAGGATCTACCTTATCTTCAGAACTCAAGTTCGTTTTGCCAAATACCGAATCGGAACCTATTCCCAATACAATGCCGAGTCGGTGGCTCCCTCACACCAGGAGCTCAAAGCCCGCACCATCTACGGCGAACAACGACCCAGATGCATCACTGCCTACACGCGAAGGGGTCTACCTTCAAGAAATCGACCTCAAAAGGACTGAAGCAGACACAGACATCGACATCATCGCCATTCACGGACTCGATACGAGGTCGCCAAACACGTGGACATGGAAGGACCCGCGAGACCTAAACAACAAAAGTAAATGGAACAACTGGCTGGACCCTGACATGCTTTCGGCGAAAGTGAATTGCGCCAGGATTTTTACGTGCGACTGGCCTGCTGACCTGTTCGTGTCATCCGATATGATCCAAATGACAATTGAAGAGTATGCTGTGCCTCTGCTCGAGGGTATCGAGAGTGCGCTCTTCATTAGCAACACAAGACCACAAGACCGGTCTATTTTCTTTTATAGCCTCATGTATCGGGGGCCTCATCTTGATAAAGTCTCTCGTACATGCGGACGACAAAAGAAACAATTACTACCGTATCAGACAAGCTACGCGTGGCGCCGTCTTCCTCGCCACACCATTCCGAGGGACGTCTTTTCAGGATGTCGCTGCCTGGGCAGAGATGGCTCTGAAGGCTAAGGCTTCCACTCAGGGTCGGAACGTGAGCAGGATAATTAAAAGTGTAAAGCGATCAACCTTTGAGCTAGAGCAAAGCGTCAACAACTTCACTCGACTCTGTCGAGACAACGATAGCCCCTGCGAAGTGTTTAGCTTCTTTGAACTTAAAAAGACGAGCCTGCCTCACAAAGCATTCCCCTGGCTGCCACGCTGGTTTGATCAATAGAAAGAGGTAAGCGGCGTATAAGTAACTCGACATTCTCGTCTCCCTGTAGCTTACACTCTTAGTCGGCCACCAGATCCTCAACGACATTAGATATCATTGTCGATCCATTACCCCTTAAGCGACCGCACTCTCTGATGAATGAATTCAAAAGATTCCAAGTGCGGAGAATATATGTATAGAACAACGGCTAGCACAGTGGCTGCTCTTTGATTGCAAATTGAATGGGACTGCAACGCTAGTACACGAAGTCGAGTTTCCTGAGGAAGCCCTGAAGACTGTTATACATGATAATCCTCATAATTTTCAGAAAATGATTCTATCTTCGCTGGCTTATCGAGCCTCATTTTCGCATAGCATTGCTGAAGCGGTGGCGGCACAGCTCGGCGGCGCGGATCCGGGCGTGAGGGAGGCCGCCATCCGCGTTTTCAACACATGCGCGGCGCTGCCTGAAGGAGTGCTCGAGCTTATAGCGGCACATGTCGGCGATCAAAACCGGGACTTGAGAAGAGCGGCCGTCGATTGTCTTTCTAAACGCGCGGCGCTGCCTGACGAGGTGCTCAAGGCCCTGGTAACTCGGCTCGGCGACAAGGCCCTGGACGTGCAAGACATTGCCAACCAGATCCTTCGCACACGTGCGACGCTGCCTGACGATGTGGTCAAGGCCATGGCGGCTTGGCTCGACGACAAGGACCTGTATGTGAGAACAAGCGCTATCATTTCTTTCAGCATACACGCGACGCTGCCTGACGAGGTGTTTGATGCCGTGGCGGCTTGGCTCGATGATAATGACCCGGATGTGTAAAGAGCTGTCAGCCAAGATCTTGGGGACCGTAAGGCGCTGCCTGCCGAGGTATTGGAGGTCGTGGTAGCACGACTTGGCGACAAGAACCAGTACATGCGATGGATCGCCACTACAGCGCTTAAGCGCGCGGCGTTGCCTGATCACGTATTCAAGGCCATGGTAGCGCGGCTTAGCGACGAGGATCGGGACGTACGTGTGGGCGCTGTGGAGGCCCTTGGCACACGCACAACACTATCTAACGAGGTGCTCAAGGCCCTGCGGTTGCGTCTTGATGACGAGGACTTTCACGTACGACTGGCCGCCATCAAGGCCCTAGGTGAACGCGTGGCGCTGCCTAATGAGGTGCTCAAGGCCCTAGCGCTGCGACTTAGTGACCAGTCATGTCCTCAGACGTACGAGCGGCCGCCACTGAAGCCCTAGGTAGACGCGTAGTGCTGCCTGATGAGATGTTCAAGACCCTAGTATCGCGACTTAGTGATAAGAGCTCTCTTGTACCAGGGGACGCCACTACAGCCCTAGGTGGACGCGTGGCGCTGCCTCAAAGTGAGATAATGGCAATAGCAACGCGGCTTCGTGATGAGGACCAGCACGTACAAAGTCGTGCCACTACCGCGCTTATTAGCTGGCGCGCAGCGATACCTGACGAGGTAATTATGGCGATAGCGGGATGGCTTAATGATGCTATTTGGTTCGTTTCTGATTCCTGTCCATATAAACGTCAATTGCTAACCTGATGATCTAGGCGTCGGCATCTGCACACTTGGTACTAACCTAACTCTGAGAAACTTGCTTGTATTGGCAGTTGGCGAAAACTCGGTCGTCCTTTTGAGCTGTGTCATCACTGTCGAGATGATATGTAATCTAGCCATAGCGCCACTCATTGCTCAGGTGTTCAAGTTTGGGCTGCAGTTGGGAGGCGTCTGGGTGACTATGCTAGTGATAATTGGCGGTGGCTTTTCCGTCCTCGCGCTTCTGCTCCTTGGTCTCAGAAATAACCGAGTGCGCTGAAAATCGATTGCGGGAATGCTTTGTTTTTCTTACTTTTTTTTTGGCCATGAAGAAATACCAGTTTCGTCAATGATCCTTCAGAGATTTGCTCTTCATCTCAGCCAACATCTAACAGTGGTTGGCCACGGCGCCTCTATGCTGTTGCCCTTCCCAAGAATAGAACTTACCACAATCTGATGCATAAGATTTTTCATGACGGCCATTATTACACGAGGAAGGCTTCGCTGGTGCCTCGCTCCGCATTTCGTGGTACCCCCTCCCGGCCAGCGCAGGCCCCAGCCGTGCCTTGTTGGTCGCCACAGGGTCACTGGGCTCACCGTTATGATCAACGATGCCTAGGCCCTTTACATCGACCGAGGGCTTTAGCAGACAATCAATTCACCCCCCATAGCTTTTTTTTTCTACATGGATTAATCGCTATTAAACTCATTCGCAACAGTCATTCAATTGTCAATATCCCTTTTCTCATGACTCGCGACATATATGCCCATACTTGCCCGCGGGTTAACGGTGGGGAGTCAGCCCAGCCCACAAATCCTTTGCTACCTTACTCAGTAATAAGTGGTTATTTGTCGTCAGCGCCAAAACGCTTGCAAGCTCGGACCGTTAATTTGTTGGCGACAAAGGAGCGAGACCCGAAACACTCCAACGACTCATTCGCTTCAGCTCGTCGCTCACATCTCCTGACAATCATTGCACTATTATCCTCTCCCATATTCAGTCCAGTCGCGGGATTCCAGGATGCGTGCTGCTTTCCATCACCACCGTCGTCTTCTCTCCTCCGCCGTCGCCACCCCCTCGACATAAGACCATGGCCAAGCTGTTAGCCTCCGCGCTGTCATGGCTTCTGCGCAAGCGACTGCTGCTCGCGCTGCTCGTCCTCGTCGCCGCGGGTTTCTTGCTGCTGCGGCAATCGTCGCCGGCGCTGAGTCGCGTGCACTGGCGCAGCGACTGGTCCTGGGTCGACCTGGGCTCGTCGGGCGTGGCCCCGATGCGCCGCTACCGCTCCTTTGACCACGCCTCGATCGACGTGCGCTTTCTCGCCCGCGACGACGCCCGCTGCAGCCGCGACCAGCTGTTTCTCGCCACGCGCGGCTCCGGCACCGAGCCTGGCGCCGTCATCCTCGACCACACCGGCGAGCTCGTCTGGCGCCAGCCGCGCATGGCCGCCGAGGTCCACGACTTTCGCGTGCAAGTGTACAAGGGCGAGCCGTTTCTGACGTTTTGGGCCGGCGCCCCGGATGGCGGCGCAAAGCAAGGATCGTGGTACATGGTATGCTGTCCCGACGAGGGGGCGACGGCCAATCTCGGGCCCTACAAAAGCGTCACGGCGCAAGTAGTAGGAGGATCGCTGCGATTTCAAAGAGCTAATTGTGTGGTAGATGGACGACACTTATACGATACGTCACAATATATCGGCGCCCGGTTTCGAATTTGGCGATATGCACGAGTTTGAGCTCACCCCCGACGGAACCGCACTCGTCACCATCTATAACTCAATTCCGGCCGACCTGTCCTCGCTCGGAGGCGCTGCAAAGGGCTATATCCTCGACGGCGTCTTTCAAGAAATCGACATTGAAACTGGCAGCGTGCTGTTTCAATGGCATGCTTCCAGTCACATTCCTCTAAAGACATCCAAAAAGCCCATGAAGGGGTGCAGCGACGACCAGAAAAGGGCCTTCCTAGGCTGCGGCAACAGCCCCGACGCCGCTTTCGACTACTACCACATCAACAGCGTACAAAAAGACTCCAAAGGCAACTACCTCATCTCCGGCCGCCACACCTCTTCTCTCACATACATCAACGGCACGAGCGGCGAGCCCCTGTGGCACATGGGCGGCGACTTGAACCAGTTCGAGACCACCCCCCTCGGCACAAAGGTCCTCTTTGCGTGGCAGCACCACGCCCGGCTCCACGACGACGACACCATCACGCTCCTCGACAACAATGCCTACGACCCGAATGCGCGGCGCACCGAGTCGCGCGGCCTCCGGCTACAAGCCGACTTCAACAGCATGAGCGTGACGCTGCAGACGGCCTACAAGCACCCGCAGCAAATCATGGCCTTTTCGCAGGGCAACGCCCAGGTACTCCCCGACTCGGGCAACGTGCTCGTCGGCTGGGGCAGCAGCGCCGCCTTTACCGAGTTCTCCGCCGACGGCGAGGTGCTCTGCGACGCACGCTTCGCGCCCGCCGCCTTCTTCTCCTTTCAGCCCCTCAGCTCGTACCGCGTCTACCGCGGGCGCTGGCTTGGCAAGCCGCAGGACGCGCCACGCATCACCGTCGCGGGGCGGTCCATCTACGTGAGCTGGAACGGCGCGACAGAGGTGGCTGCCTGGCGGCTTCAGGGCAGGACGACGGCAACAACAGGCAGCGGCGGCGGCGGCAGCGACGAGGATGATGCGTTTGAAGATGTGGTTGAGATTCCCAAGACGCACTTTGAGTCCGAGTTTGCGGCGGCCAACTTGACGAGGTCGTACAGCAAGATTCGCGTGCAGGCCATCAACGTCGGGGGTGTGACGCTGGGGACAACGGCAGAGGTCGATCCGCCCAGCCGCTTGTCATTGCTGATTGGCGCGATTAACCTGCTGCTCGTTGGGGCTACGGCCGGTATCGTCCTCGGCTGCGTGTCGCTCGTCATGGGTGTCATGTCGTGTAGAAGGCGATACGGCAGGACTGTAGGATACAAGCCTGTGGAAATGGATGATTTGAGTTAGACTGCATTTTTTTTTTCTTTTTTGTTCGGCTCGCGTTGAGCTGCGCATTTGCATTGCGGCGGAATTATTCTTGTTTTTTTCTTCTTGTCTTTGCACGGCGTCCGAGTTCTCTTTCCCGTCAGACATCCTATGTAAAATAAAGCAAGTAGCAAGCAAATCGTGACGCCTTGGAGAAGGTGTGGGTACAATTGTCGCGCAGAATTATATGTGAAGAAGTACACAAGGCCAACGCTGCAAGCAGCCAAGTAAGAACATCACCTTTCTTGATTTTTTCTTCTTTTTTGAATCAAAACCATCTGTCCGGCGCAATCTGTCTAGGTTGTGCTTCTCCCTCTCCAGGCTCAGCAATCATATGTTCCCAGCTCTCAGACAACTTTACTTGTGTGGGATTCATCTACACTTTGCACCTTGGGCAGTAGGCAGCCCATGTTTTACGTTTGTGACGAGATAGATTCCAACATCGTGATAGATCCCTATATACAGACAGGCAAATCTCTCGCCTAGCATCATTGCTTGATAGCTCGTCGTCTCAAGACCGCCGAGTTTTCATTTAGACAGTGAAAGTCGTGGGCGTCTAGACACGCCTCTCTGCTCAGCAGGGCCGCCGGATTCGTGCGCTCCACCATCTCCGCCTCGTAGCTATCCAGTGCCTCCTTGAGCGACGCCTCTCCGGATGAAACCTTGACCAGCGCGTTGCACAAGTTCCGGGCGTCGAGCAAGCCGTGATTGGCCGCCTCTCCGCGGTACATGGTCATGGCGTGCGCGGCATCGCCCGCGAGCGAAACGCGGCCGCCGCGGTTATCCCACTGTTGGCAGGGCCAGTCCTGCAGCAAAATCTCCGCCACCTCGGCGTCATCGGGCGTCAGCTTTTGCACGACTTTCCGCAGTGTGGGGTGGAACTCGGCGGCGCGGCGCTGCATAACGGCGACGCGATCGGCGTCGGACGCGGGTACCTCGTCGGCGGGCGTCTTGGCGAGCCAGGACTGGATAACCTGGAACTTGTAGGCCTCGCGGCCAGTGCCGAGCGTGCCATTGATCTCGGGGCTGTCTAGGAGCGAGATCCAGAGATAGTTGCCGGTGGACGGATGGCAACCTTGGAAGAGTAGCGGATCGATGCGCAGCAGCGGCTGAGCCTCGGCGGCGGGCAGCGTGATGCTGGCGCCGAGCAGGCGTGCGGGCAGCTGGTAGTTCTGGTACGCATCCGGTAACAGAAACTTGCGCGTGCGGGAGCCGGAGCCCTCGACGCCGACGAGCAGGCAGCCCTCGGCGGAGGTGCCGTCGGAAAAAGTGGCGCAAACCACGCCGTCCCTAGAAGTGTCGATAGCGTCGAGGCGCTTGCCCCAGCGAACGTGTGCGGCTACGTCGCGGAGGAGCAGCTTGCGCAGCTTCTCGCGGTTCACGCGGCGGCGGTAGTTGGGCGGGATGTGAAACTTTGGCTCGAGCGTCTCGAGGTTGAGAAAGACAAAGTTGCCCGTATCGTTGCGGCCGACGCTCGGGTCGACCTGGACGCCGTCGATGCCTTGTATCGTCTCTTCGTCGAGGAGCTCCTGCAGAAAAGGCAGCGCCCAATGGAGGGTAATGGCCCAGCCGTGCGGGCGGGCGTCAATGTGGTCGTCGCGTTCATATATTTGAAACGGGATTCCATGCTATCAAAAGGGAAGGTCTCCAATTAGTCTTGGCGGACGGACGAGGGTGCGTGCCGGGTGCGGGCTGGGTTGAGAGGGGTCGTTGGTTTTGTCTGATTTTACCTTTTTGAGGCCGTGCGCCAGCGCCAGACCAACAACACCGGCGCCGATGATCAGGACAGGCTTATCCATGATGGGTGAATGCGGCGCGCAGGGGCTTTTTAATACCAGATGCGACGATGTCTAACAATGCCGCATGACAAGAGGCCAACTAGGAGGGGGAGGGGAAAAGAGAGGGGCGGCGTCAAAATGCGCAAACAAGAGGGATAAAAGAAACGAACGAGAGAGGGGCACGAACGAACAAAGAACTGGTGGTGTGTAACCTGGCACTTTTTGGCCCTCTTTGGGCCCTCTTTGGCCCTGTACCTACCTGTGCGGCCGCAAAAACGTCAAGGTGGCTTGCTTGGCCGGAGCGGTCGCGGGGTTTGGCCGCGGGGTTTGGTGGTGGCGGGCATCGGGTGGTGGGACGAGATTGAGTTTGTACGTAAAAGGATCAAAGAACCGTTCAGACCAGATCTTGGACAGATTAGATGAATGTACAAAGTAAGAAAGTCACTGGGCTTTCCAGCCTGCACGACGAATAACTTTACCAATGGGTGGTATTGCGGGCAGCTCGCCCCAGAGGTTCATGCAAGGCCAGCCAGAATAACGAAATACCTCGCCAACAAGCTACAAGAACGCCTGCAAAGGCACGTAATTAATACCAGCAGCCAGACAAATTGCAAAGAAAGGCAATGAGAAATGATGCCAGTAAAAGTCGCAAAACAAAAATCCAGTACGGATTATATGTATCAAGGATGGCCACACTCTCCACTGCTCCGTCGCATTCAACTGGTCTGCCACATGGCTAACTCGGATTTGGATTCTCGGGGGGCCGATGGTGGGTGTTTTAGCGGCTAGGTCGCGGCCGGTGGCGCTGTAATTAGCAGGTGAGCGCCGTACCTACCAGCCAACCGCGGCCGTCGGGAAGTGCGCGCGGAGCGCTGCGGTGAACCGGCTCTGGGCGGGTGTCTGCTGATGAGACCGGCCCAAGCAGCAGAAGAAAGGACTCGACGGTGGGTCGTCTTTGATACTCGGTGAACAAAAATGAATTGTTATTGGTGGTCTACAGACAATTTCGCACCAAACTTCCATCTACCTACCTATACTACCGTTTTTGCAATGTGGGCCTGCGACGGCGGAATGCCATCATGGTAACTCGCTGCCAGCAACTTTTGCAGCTTGATTACGACGGACCTTATTTCATATATATGGATGTCGCTGCATCTATACTATTCCACCCGCGCTCTTCTACAGCTCCTCATACTCTCTTTCCTTCGACCTTTCCGTACCTCTCGCCTTTCCGTCCCCTCCGCCCATCATGGCCGACAAGTCCCATGAACCCGTCCAGCCCATCCACCCCTCGATGGAGGGCAAGCTGGACCCCGTCTTCGTCCAGCTTTACAACGAAAACGTCGCCTATAAACCCAACGGACCCATTGACCTGGCCGTCCTGCGCAAGCACTACTCCCAGCTTTACAGCTACGGCACAGGCCCGGCCCCCGAGGCCGCGCGCACCTACGATACCACCTTTCCTCTCGACGACGGCGCTGGCACCGAGATTGGCCTGCGCGTCTACGAGCCCGCCTCGCCGGGGCCGTGGCCCGTCCACATCGACTTCCACGGCGGCGGCTGGGGCCTCGGCGACCTCGACACCGAGGCGCACATTTGCAAGCACATCAGCCACCAGGCCAACGTGGTCGTCGTTGACGTCGACTACCGCCTAGTCCCGGAGCACCCGTACCCGACGCAAATCACCGACTGCTGGGCGGCGCTGCAGTACGTCCACGCGCACGGCGCCGAAAAGTTCCGCATCAAGCCCGACAGCATCTCGATTGGCGGCGTGTCGGCGGGCGGCTGCATCGCCCTCGCCCTCGCGCACCTGGCGCGCGACGCCGGGCTCCCGCTGCGTCTCGTGGCGGCCGGCACGCCCGTCATTGACGACCTGCCCGCCGCGGCCGCTGATTCGCCGCACGCGTCGATGCGCGAAAACGAGTTTGCGCCGACGCTCAACTGGGCGCGCCTCGCCTTCTTCAACCGCTTCAAGTTTTCCGAGGACCCTGTCGCGGCAAAGGCGGCCAAGGACGAGATGGGCTGGTTCGCCAACCTGCTCGACGCGGACAACATGAGCAACCTGCCGAGGACGGTGATTTACACGGCCGGCGCGGACCCGCTGCGCGACGAGGGCGAGGCGTACGCGCGCAAGCTGCTGGAGCACGGCAACGAGGTGATTGCGAGGCGGTTCGTCGGCGTGCCGCATCCGTTTATGCACATGGACGGCCGCTTGAAGCAGGGACGCGAGTTTATAGACGAGACGGCACGTTACGTGCGTCTGGCCCATTGGGACTGAAAGCTAATGAGGAGTATCATGATGAATCTCGTGTAAATTAAACTCATAATGACCTTTTTTTAATATTTTTTTTTTTGCGGGCAGCTGTTGCTTATACATTATTATAATGAAACTCGTATTATCAATAGCACAAGCAGGCTGGAGGCTTAACAGTTGAGACAGACATGTCGAGACGCAGTAGAATGAAACTGCCCCACCATCGTGTGTCGCCTTGTCCGAGAGGCTTGCAGTAGAAGCTGCACAGAAGGTCAGCTGTGGCTGAGTAGATGCGCTCCCACGTGTTTTGGCCGCGCTAGATTTCGTCACGGAGTTGAGTTATTGGCGAATGCCTGATACATGGTGTGCTTGTCTGTACTTGTTCTCCTAGTGATGGCATCTGTCGTAGTTACATACAAATAGTAAAACTCGTAGCTAGTAACAGAATATGGCTGGTGGGCCGTTGAAATCGGTAGTGGATTTTCTGGACATTTTTTTTTCTCTTTTGATTCGCAGTATTGATTCCAGCCAGAAAATACTAGGTAAAATTGATCAATATTTATCTGGTCAAACTGGTGGCGCCAGAGCAAGCCGTGCGGAGAAGAAGCTGCAGGGGAGGCGGGCGCACTGTGATAGGTCGAGTGGTGTAGGCGGGGCCGTGTTGAGGGGGGTGCGGCCCTTGTCGAATTGACATTATCGGGTGAGCACTTGATAACAGAAGCATTTATGCTTTGACTTGGTGAGAAGATCCGTTTGTCGCGTGGTTACGAACTTACGGGGAGGCAATCCCGGGCGATATGGCGTGGGATTGATTGCAAGTGCTGGGCGAGTTTTACGGATGAGTTTCTTGACTGGTCCATTTGTCGCGTGGTTACGGGAGGCAATCCCGTCAGATATGGCGTGGCCCGTAATACTGGGCGAATTTTACTGGCTGACCAGGGTGCAGCACAAGTCTGCGGGACCGCATCGCGCGGGATTTTTGGCATTGGTTCGCCGGCTGGAGTCTACTGATACCTGCCAGCCTGCCTACTGGTGACGCCTCGCAGCATGCAGCCCGTCTGCAGACGAGGGGCGATGATGCCGTCAAGCAGCAGAGAGCCCTGACAAGCTGACGGTGCAGATGATGTGCATTTCTGCATCTGCTGCACACACACACGGAGCTGGAAATGCTTCTCTGATGCTTCTTTCAGTCTTCTTCTTTGCTCGTTTCTGTAATTGTCCCCAAGCCACCAGCCTCGGCGATTTCCTAAAAGAAAAAATTCAGTGCCACACCACCATCCCGCACTGTCACCCAACTCACTAACCCCCAGCCCTCCCCCCTGTGATTCGCCATGGCTCTACGGATAGTGGTATGCCTCTAGTGGTATGCCTCTAGTGGTATGCCTCTAATAATGGTGTGCTCAATCCCCTCGCCTCGAGAAGCAAGCCTCGTCGCTCAACGACTAAGCCTACCCAGGCCACCGGCGCCGCGAGCAAGAAAAAAAAAAGAAGAGGAGATCTGCACCCTTTTCGCTTCTATCCCGTCAAGTTCTCCCGTGTTTTCCCACTTTCCACCGCCCAAGACGGGGTCTAGTAGGGTACGTGGGTGGATATCACAGATCACCTACAGACTTGGCCAGCCAGTCGCCCCCCATCTCCCGCTGACCAAGCCCGCTCTCCATCGCTCATCAACCCATCAACCCATCAACCCATCAACCCATCAATCCATCAGCCCATCAACCCATCACTGCTTCGCCCCCAAGTCCATCTCGATGCCCTTCTTTTCCTCGCCTTTTCCTCTTTGCTCCTTCATCGCCGTCTGCCCATCATCTCAGTCCTAGCCACATTTACGCATATTCACCAATCTCCCGCCTGCCCGCCTGACTGCTTCCCCTCCTGCAGACAAGCCGTCGATTCCTACCCATATCCGCGACCTCGGCTCGACCCGCCCTTCAACACAAAGCGACCAAAGAAAGGACACCCCCTCTCCTTCCGCCCAGAGACATCGACACAGAATCCTACTTCCATCGCTCCTCTCATTTTATTACAGCCGACGAAGCCATGGGCTCCGACAGCCGGCCTGTGTGCCATCGCTGTGCCCAAATCAAGCAGGCCTGCGACGGCAACCTGCCCTGCGCGCGATGCGTGCGCCTCAGTCTGCCCTGCATGCCCCGGGATGCCCTCGGCGCCGGCGACGGCTATCCTGGCGCCATGGGCGACATCCCCAAGGCCCGCATCCGCCGCGTCCAGACCGGCTGCCTCATGTGCAAGCGTCGCAAGAAAAAGTGCGACGAGACCAAGCCTCGCTGCGGCGACTGTCGACGCCTCTGTCTCGACTGCGCCTGGCCTGCCGAGCGCTCCAAGGACAAGTCTCCGATTTTGGATGCGCGCAAGGAATCGCTTTCAGAAAAGCTCAGCGGCGACCCGACCATTATAGATATTCCCCTCCGTCAGAGCCAGAGCCCCAGCCCCAGTGCAACCAGCTCGCCGCGCTCCAACGCAAGTGCTAATAGGAGAAGCAACAGCAATGCAAGCAGCTACCACCCGGATGTCAAACCAGAATTTGCCGTCATCAAGCAGGATAGCTCGACGTCGGATGCCGAGGCACTCTCCGATAAGGTCTCGTGGGATTTGTCCACCTCGCCGCCGGCCTGGGTAGAAGCCTTCACACCCGTCAGCAACGGCAGCACCCACGACGCTATGGATCCCAATCAGCCCACGCTCACCGTGTATATTCCGCAGCTGCTTCCCCAACTACAAACCACAAACGACCGCGCCTTGATGAACCATTACTCCACCATAGTCTCGTCCATTCTCTCACGAAGAAACTCTACCAGCAACCCATATAACCATTACCTTTTACCCATGGCGCAGGGCAACGACCTTGTTCTTCACTGCATTCTCGCCCTGTCGGCGAACCACTGGCGCAAGCTGCAACCGACGTTGGGTGGCAGGGGTCTCTATCACCAGGGCAAAGCGGCGTCAGCACTGGCCCAGCTGCTACCCCACGTCGACAAGCAGAGCGCAGATATTGCCCTAGTCGCAAGTTTGCTGCTCTGCATGACCGAGTTGTTTGACGGCACGAGCGAAGGATGGAAGTTGCATCTCAAGGGCGCCAAACGGCTCTTGATCACTCTCATGACTCAACAAGGCGAAATGTTGACCGGACACTACAAGTTTCTGCTGCGACTGGCTCGCTTCCTTGACTCTGCTGCCACGACATCTACCTGTCGCCCTCCTCTCATCGGCGATGAGGAAGCCGAGGCTGCCGCGCTCAACCGCCTCTCATTCAGCCCAGATGAAGACGACTCGGCCGTGTACGGTATCCCAAAGGAGCTTTTCCATCTTCTCGATCGCGTCAACACGCTCGCCGACAAGCGCAAAACGCGCGTGGATCGCGCCTCCGAGGCCGCTTTTCGCGAAGAGGCACAGCAAGTTGAGGAGCGCATCAACCACTGGTCGTACGAGTACGGCGGCATGTCGCGCGCAGTCTACTCGCTTTCACCCGGCGGCGACGACGTGCTCCACGCGGCCGTGGCCTTTGAAAACGCCGTTCGTCTGCGCCTGCACCAGGTCGTCGAGGGCTACGAGCTCACGGATCCCAAAGTCGACCAGTGCGTCGGGGCCATTCTTGACGCCGTGCAAAAGATTCGCTACGGCAGCCCGCTCGAGGCGTGCGTGCTATTTCCGCTCGTCATGGCCGGTGGCGCGTGCTCCAAATACGAGCACCGGTTGATTATCCAGGACAGGCTGCTCGTCATGGAGAGGACGTGCGGCTTTGGGTACGTGTTTAATGCGAGGGACCTGGTGGAGCGCGTGTGGTCGAGGAGAGATGACACGGCGGGGACGGGTGCCATTGTGAATTGGGCGAGGATTCGATATGAAGAGATGCATGGGCTAGTTGTCTTTTGAAAGGGCGACTTTCTTTTCCTTGAACAACAACGCAGATAGACTTTTCTCTTTGCATCTCACGAACACTATGAGCGGCGCTGATTATTATATACCAACATACACCGAGTTATACCACTTACCAATGTACCACGGATATTACCCACCTATTAAGCATACCATGTTTATACCACTCACCGACTTGACTTGCTCTCCGTATCTGTGCCAACCTCGCCCTTTTCCCTCTGCCACGCGGCCACCACCTCGAGCGCGGCGAGCTTGTCGCAGGTGATGATGATGCAGCGGTAGCAGCACGACTCGGACGACGTCACGTCGGGCGGCACGCGCCAGTCTCGCCGCGCATCGCGCTGCGTGTATGTCATCCGCGCCACACCACCCAACTCATGCCTCTCTCTCTCTCCTCCTCTCCATCTTCGAACCCCCCCCCGGGCACCACGCCCCGTTTCCGGATCCCAGCGCCGTCGCTCTCCGCCACACGTCTTGAGCACGGCCGCCCCCCTCGCCGTCCTGCGCGCCACCGCCGTTTCCTTGAGCACGCCCGGGTGCAAGATCGCACGCGGGTGCAGGTTATGGGTAGTCGGTAGACCGAAGCGCGCGCCGTTGGAGGCGAGGGAAGAGGGCAGGGCGCCGACTTTGTTGGCAAAAGGCGCGGCGCTCGTAGATGGTGACGGGAGTTGGCCGGCACGGCGGAGGGCAGAATGGCGGCGGAGAGGCCGGCGAGGGCCGCCGGCGCCGATAATGGTCAATGTTCGTTACACGGCGGGGTCCGGGGCGGACGTCATGGGCGTCTATAGAAAGTGTCTTTCTTGAGAAGTGGGAAAAAAAAGGAAAAAAAAAGATACGGCGTGTATGAAAAGCTTCAATTGAGGCTTTAGAGTAGTTGGAAGAGCAGGAAACGAAATTACCGAGATTAGCAAGTAGACGTCCAGTTTGTTCTTTGCTGCTCCTCTGCGGAAAGGCATTCCGCCTCTTTTATCCTCCCCCGGCCCGCGGTTACCCCAAGAGTTTGCGGCGGTATTGACGTGACTCGTTTTCGTGGAAACATGACCATGCAATGCACGGCGCGCGCGCAAAGCAAAACATGAAGCCATATTTAATTAGGTGCCCGTCGATCCCTTGAAGTTCTGGGTAGTTGACTCGAGCTGACTAGCTCGTTGCCTCTGATCCGCGGCATTGTGTGTGTGTGTGTGTGTGTGTGTGAGGTTGTTGCCAAGAGCGGTTCCATGCAAGCACACGCCGGCGCGGCGATGCGACGGTGGAGCAGCTCCGGCAGAAGCACCGATGTTGTTGATCCCCCTCTGTGGCTGTCAGCCGTGCGGCGGGGGAGGGGAAGGGGCTGTTCTTTTTTGTTTTTTTTTTTTTTGTCTTTTTGTTGCAAATTTTTGATTACGGCATCTTCATAATGCATCATTGCCGTCAGACAGGACAATCTGTCATAAATAACCTCGTCGTCCTTGTACGGAGGTTGCCCTCAAAGTAATAAGTGGTTGCGCCAAGCTCACACAAGTATACGAGCAAGGACTCGATAATAAGGGTTGGAAGATAATAATCGCTATAATAGGGAGTAGGTTCCTAGAGGGTATAATTGCAGAGTGATAGCGATACTATCGAGAATCCATCAGGCATACTGTCAGGGATCTACCTGAAGCCTCGCAATGTCTTTGTTATATCTTCAGGGCTCTACTATCATCCAAAAGTACTCCGAGATTATACGTTATTTTTCTACAGTTGCGTCGATACGGAAAAGCATGCCGTCTGTCCCAAGTGAGACAATGGTACGCAGCCGTCGTCTTTGCGAAAAGATTAGCGCAGTACATTGGCCGCATGTTGAGTCGGGCCTGTATCGTTAGTTCGTTACTACCCTCGTCGCACCACAGCCCAATCAGACGGCACCTCACTTGTAATACACAATAATGATATCTCTTTGAGCCGCATACATGTGGGCGGCGACCCTCTTCTGTTGTTTGGCAGACATACAGTGGGTGTATCTCATCAGCACTAGTTCTAGCGCCCTCGTCGTCATGCCATTGCGCGGACATGTGGCCCCATGCGCATGCAATGCAGCATTAATACATGTCCTGAAAGTCATCGTCATGAATATCGAGGTTATCGCGCTCAGTTCAGTTGCGTGCGATGTAGGTTGTAATCGCAGTCACATATCGCACGTGGGACTGTGTGTTGAAATGGATTTTTGCGTCGACTGCAGCTCTCTGCATTTTCGCCTTGTTGTCTTGTTAGCAAACAAGAGCAAAATCGGGGGCGCTGTCCTCGGCATCAATTAAACAGAGGCATCGAGTATATAAAATGGGGTTGTTGAAGGCAAGAACAGGGATCCTCGGTATTGCGCGGCCGGCATGCAGCCCGCTTTTATTCTGACCCAAGAAATCGGACAAGTTGCGAAAGCCGGCCTCACACAGAGATGGACATTCGGGCCTCGGTGAGTGTTGGCCCGGCGCTATTTGAGCGTACACCATGAACTTGACAACTCAGTTGAGATTGGCGTCACTTGAGACAATGAGTCATGTTTCATTGTTGTGATGGACAGTACTTTGGCAACCGAGTTACTTGAGTTCAAGGCAGGGCTACCAGCACTTTACCGAGTAGCCTCGTCTCAAACCGGAGTCTCGTCAGGACTGTTGTATTTTTGGCAAATGATTTTTGAACACGTCAGTCGGAAGCTAGAACCAAGATTTTGTTTGCCTGTTTGCTTGTTCCTTCAGCGCCTTATGTATATACATTGCCCGCGGCCCACGAAGATACCCTTGATCAGTGTAGCTCGGATACAGGAGAAAAAGAAAAAAAAAAAAAAAGGAAAGGAAAGACATGTAGCATTCTAGCATTGCTATTTGTCACCAGTAGGTGACTGATGGCGAAGAAGAGCGGCAGAGTTTCAAGTCACAACTCTCACTTCGTCTGTAAATTAATCAAGACATGTTGCTGACCGAGGACCGCAAACCGCAAAATATACCCATCAAAAAGCGCCCCTCTTTCGCAAGGGCGGAAAGTTTCTACAGCGGAACTATAGCTGCATCATCCCAATCCTTATCAGGTTTCTTGCGGTAAGACGTAAGACGACGACTGGAATCGATTTCAAAAGATGGGGTTTCTGGGCCCAACTATGGGCTGGGGTCAGAGCTGGCTCTTACAACCCCTACACTGTGCTTATGATTGTTCATTACTCACTTGACGACTTTTTCCCGGATGCAGAGATTGCCACGGGCATTTCTTCTCTAAGCTTTCGCAAACGCCGCCCACCAACGCACACGCACAACACTTGAACTTGTTGGTGTGTCGCGGGTAAGGGCCCATCATCATCTGGTTTTTACCGCGTCGAGAATTCGCAAATTCTTTTTTTTAATCCTTTACGACGCCACGTTTCTATTTTATTTTCCCGTTTCCTAATGCGAGGAGATTAGCGCCCGCCGCCAACCAAACTTGTCTCAGAGTAGCTGCTGGTTGCGCTGCGTTGTCTTAACGCTAATAATACCCAGCTTGAGAGCGATTGTTGTGTGGCTTTGCTTTTTTGTTAAAGAAGAAGAAGAAAAAAAAAAAAAGAGGAATTCAACAGTCTGTCAAAAAAGTAGTGGGTGCATCGCGGATTGGAGAATCTCATCTGCCCGGGTCAGAGGCTTTTGCGACAAGAGCGCCACGAAGCCCAACGACGTGGTCCAACGGGATCCGAGACGAGACTCTGGGATTCCTGAAATCGAGCAGTTTGAAAAGGACAAGACGAGCCAACACAAAAGGACTTGCCACTTGCCCCCTTTTTTCGCACACTTTTTTGTGTGTTTTTGTGTTTATTCGATTTTTTCTATTAATCAGCAGTAACTCGCACCAATCGCGACAAACAATGGTGGCCATGGAGGATTCAAGCTGCTGCGAATCCAGCCAGGCGCCCCTGATTCGGTGCGACGAGGCCGAGCTGCAGCGCATCTACCGAAAAATCGACTGGGTCGTGCTGCCGCTCATGTTCATGTGCTACTTTCTCGAGTTTCTCGACAAGATCCTCATCGGCTACGCCAACGTCATGGGCCTCGAGGCGGACCTGTCGCTGCGACCGGGCCAGTTCCAGTGGCTCGCGACGACGCTGTACATTGGCATGGCGGCCGGGCAGCTGCCACAGGGCGCGCTGCTTCAGCGCTTTCCCGTCAGCCGGGTGCTCGGGGCCAATGTGTGTCTCTGGGGCGTGGCCGTGTGCTGCATGGCGGCGGCGCGCGGGTTCGCGGGCATCGCGGCGCTGCGGACGCTGCTCGGCGTGGGCGAGGCCGTGGTCGCGCCGGCCCTCATCATGGTCACGACGCAGTGGTACACGAAGCGGCAGGCCGTTCCGCGCATGGGCCTCTGGTACAGCGGCGTCGGCGTCGGCCAGATCGTCGGCGGCCTCATCTCCTGGGCCGCCCAGCACGCGCCCGCCACCGCGTCCTTTGCCAGCTGGCGCGTCATGTTTGCCGTCGCCGGCGCCATCAACCTCATGACCGGCCTCGCCGTGTTTTCCTTGCTGCCGCGGTCCCTCGAGACGGCCGCGTTTCTCAGCGACACGGAAAAGGACCTGGTCCGGGACAGCCTGCTCCTGGACCAGGCCGGCAACGGCGCCAAAATCTTTCGCTGGTCGGGCATCCGCGAAGCGCTGGGCGACGCGCAGGTCCTGCTCTTTGTGCTCTTTACGCTGGCCACGGTGATTCCGGGCGGCTTCATCACCAGCTTCTCCGCCGTCGTGATTCGGAGCTTTGACTTTAGCCCCAAGCATTCGGCCCTGCTCACCATGGTGTCGGGCGTCGTGACCATTTTCGGCACGACCGCGTCCACCATGGCCATCTTGTACAATTTCCCCCGCTGGCTCGGCATCGTGCTGCTGCTGATTCCCAGCATGCTGGGCGCCGGACTCATGTCCTTTGCCAAGGCGAAAGCGGCTGCGCTCGCCGGCGTGTACCTGGTGAACTTGGACATTGCTCCGCTCGTGTTGATTTTCAGCATGATTGGCGCCAACGTCCAAGGATATACAAAAAAGGTCTTTGTGACGGGCCTGGTGTCGTTTGCCAATGCGTGCGCCTGCATCATTGGCCCGCAGACGTTTCGCCCGCAGGACGCTCCGCAGTACATTCCGGCCAAAATTACCGTGTTTTGCGTCACCGGAGTGGGCATTGTCATTGCGGTGCTTTTGCGGATGCTGTATGCTGTGCGCAATCGTAGGAATGCGGCGGCGAGAAAAGCGGCCATGGACGCGATTGCGCGAGGCGAGGCCGATGCTACAAAAGTGCTGAATGAGGAAGAAACAGATCTAAAGAATAACAAGTTTGTCTACATGTACTAGACAAAAGACGGCAATGGCCCTGAAAAAGAAAAAAAACCCTTTGCCAGGCAATATAGCCTCGAAGGGAGTGCAAGCGATTAGACAAGATACCAAACCCCTGTATTTTTTTTTTTTTTTACTTCTTTAAATTAGGATAGATTGCATGTTGAGTAACGTACATGTATAAAGATACGAACCACATGGAAACAAAGGTGGGCTTTGTGGCCAAAAGTGAGGTATACGTAACACGGCAGATTTCAGCATTGCCGCAAGTTGCAGTCGTCTTCTTCTATTTAGTTGACCAACCGTGTCCTAATGTGCAAGTGCATAAATCGGATTCTAAATTTAGGCTGCGGTAGGGTGCTTGGGTGCATGCGCGAACCGCTTCCCTTGATCTACGGTACCCAACGATCTATTTCGTTAGTTGCTGATTATGAGACGGTACATTCTGGGGAAAGTGGCCAAAACCAGGCCAGGTGGAGTTGCGACTTTATTTGCGCGGCAGAGTTCAGGGTCAAAGGAATTTCAAGCATCAGTGCATCACACAATACACACAATACTGAGTACACTGTTACCATGTTGGATGATTGGATTCGGGACGGAAAATGTGCAGTATCGCATGATTTTGAGACGCATCCCGACAAGACATGATGCCACTCCAAGACATCGACTTGAAAAGCCCCTCTCAGCTGGGCCAGCCTTCAGCAGCATTGTCCGCTGGCCTGATGCCTTGGAGTGGTGAGTGCTAACGAATAGCAAGCCACGAACGGAAAATAGCCCCAAAACCAGCATCTTGTAGTGAGTGGTCCACTGCCAACGGAGCGGGCAGAGTCGGTTCAAAAGGCTCCGTACATGCCCTCGCCTCATAACTAGCCATGACACTCGTCGGGTATCGGAAAAGACTGTGAAAAACGGTACCGGGCTAATAATACGATTCACATTCCTGTGAGACTTGCATCGGCGGGTCGCATCTCCGCTGTCTTACCATTGCCACGATCTGATGGAGCCCAGAACTATCTATGTATGTATGTACTCGGTACGGCGAAAAAAAAAAAAAAAAAAAAAAAAGTCCAAGAGAGAATTGGGGGTTGCATCTCGAATCAGAGCCACTTGCATCTTGCAGCATCGTGCCTCTCTTCTTCGTTTCCATCCAGCCATAACCATTCTTGCCATTGTCCTAAGTTGCGACGGCTGCAGTGCTGCGCTAGAACCTATGTTGTCGGATGCGGTCATATCAGAGCAGCGGCCCGCGGGAGGGGGAGGGGGAGGGGAAAGGGAAGGGGGCAAAAGGAAATATTTACTGGTCAGCGTCACAATGGGCCAGGTTACGTCAAGGCGGATTTGCAAAATCCCCTAGTTAATAACGAAAGTACGGATAGTTGTCCATCATTTCCTTTTTCACGTTCGTCTCTTTTTTTTTTTTGTCTGGCGCGCCGCGGATAAGAATTGACAAGGCAGGGCGACATCCGGGCGGCCTGGGCGTTCCAAACCAATTACAGCACGAGGAGGGAAAAAAACCTTGGCTTTTTTATTTTTATTTTTATTTTTATTTAAGCTATTGCCGTGGCTTGCTTTTCACCTGTCTACTACCTATGCGACGCCGCCGGCACAAAAAAAAATGATTCAGGCAACTTGTCAAGCCCACAAAAGTTTAGTTATGCCGGCGGAATTTCCAAAAAATAAGGTACGAATAATTAAATGATAGCTGAGCAGCGCGACCCAGCGCGGACCGCCGAGTCGCAAGACGTTGAATTGAGGCGCCGCCATTGTCGAAGCCAGTATTATTAGTAGTTCTTTGCAAAAGGTCCCCCGACTTTTGGACCTTTTGTTGAGAGTAGCGGACCAAAGAGAAACAAAAGTCTGCTTCACCCTTTTTCCTCTCTTTCTCTCTCTCCCTCTCTCTCAAGATTAACGATTTGGAAGTACCGGCCTGACCAGAACTGCCTGCTTTCAACGAATGTGCAGAGACTCACGATAGTGACTCACGATAGCGCCAATCTGAACTACAGAAATTGCCCAACATTTGCATTTCGGCACTTTTCAGAGTGAACCGTCTTTCCTGCAAGCGCTTTTACTTCTGCCGTTTCAAATTACACTACGAAAATCAAAAGCTTTCCTACCGCGATACGAAAACGCAGCAAAATTCAACATCTCACTCCTCCCTCCCACCCCCCCCCTCCAACGAATGCCTTCAAAAGTCGCCATGCCCATTGAGGCGCCCGCCCTCGTGGCCGTCACCGGCGCCAACGGCTTCATTGCGCAGCACTGTATCGCCGCGCTCCTCGAAAAGGGCTACCGCGTAGTCGGCACCGTCCGATCCCACGCCAAGGTCGACGCCGTGCGGCAGGCCCACGCCGGCGGCGGCGCCGGCGCCGGCGCGCAGCACCCCAAGCTCTCCGTCGTCGTCGTCGCCGACATCACCGACCCGGACCAGTACCGCGCCGCGCTCGAGCCGCTCTCCCCCGCCGCCGTCCTGCACCTCGCATCGCCCTTTCACTACCGCGCCACCGATTTCGAGCGCGAGCTCATGGTGCCCGCCGTGCGCGGCGCCACCGCCCTCCTCGAGGCCTGCGCCGCCATGCGCTCCGTCAAGCGCGTCGTCCACACCAACAGCTTTGCCTGCATCTACGACGCCGCCGCCGGGTTGCAGCCCGCCAAGACGTACACGGCTCGCGATTGGAGTCCGCTGACGTACGCGGATGGCGTGGACGCCGCCGACGCCGCCACCGCGTATCGCGCGTGCAAGACGGCCGCGGAGCGCGCCGCCTGGCGCTTCGTCGCGGCAAACGACAAGAAGAGCCGCGCCGCTGCTGTCGGGTTTGACCTGGTCAGCTTGTGTCCGGCCATGGTCTTTGGCCCGTTTCTGCCCAAAGCCAAGCCCCGCAGCATCGCCGACGTAAACACGAGCAACCTCCTCGTCTGGGCTGTTGCCGGCGCCGACGCCGGCGCCGGCGCCGTGCTGCCGCCGACAAAGGGCCCCGTCTGGGTCGACGTGCGCGACGTGGCCGACGCGCACGTCCGCGCGCTGGCGGTGCCCGAGGCCGGCGGCCGCAGGTTCCTCCTCGCGCAGGGCGTCTACTGCAACCAGGAGCTCGCCGACGTGGCGAGAAAGGTCCTGCCGCCCGCATATCAGGCCAGGATCCCGCTGGGGAAGCCGGGCGTGCGCGAGGCGCATACGCATTTCGGTGTCGACGCGACAGAGACGGAGCGGGTGCTGGGCGTGTCGTGGCGAGGGCTGGAGGATTGCTTACGGGATTTGGTGCCGCAGCTCTATGAGATTGAGGCTCAGCAGAACAAGGGGTAAATATTTTGCGCTGCTGGCGAGGCGGAGGGGGGTGGGGGCTTTTGGGTTTGTTCAGCAAGAATTGTCAATGGGAGAGTCTGCGAGGGAGTTTTACTTGTGCATTTATATAGGCGTGCGAAGGTTGCTACCGCGCGATACGGAGTTTTGGAGTAGTCGAGCGAATGCTCAGAGAGGTCTAATTTGTATTGCAAATCATTGTTTTACTCTATTTACAATATTCGAGTTCGGTCCCATCACGACGTAAATTGGCTCTGTTTTGTTCCGTATATCCATGTCAATCACTTGTCGTCAAGTAGGCCGCATTTGTGTCATGGTGACACGCGAAACACTCATTATCATATACGCATCAATACCAAAAAAAAAAAAAAAACAAAAATGATTCGCTTTACCCATGTAGCAGGCCTCTCTTCATCTAAAAATTTCCCAGTAAGCCATTTCCACCCAGTTTGCGGCAACACTGCGCAGCACCAGTGACTCTGAGCCACCCACACAGTGATGCTGCATCAGACTTGGTTACGTAGTACGAGCATCAGGCTTCGCTTAGCCTATTCTGCCCATCTCTTCTCTACAACCACATTCATCATTCCATTACAAAATTTGAAACTGGCAATTTCAAGCAACATCTAACCAATCTGGCGCACATTTTTCAAGTTCGTCTACCGATTCACCCTACTATAGAGCGCAAAAACCCATGGAAAAGCAGGCGCTTCTGGGCGCGTCTCTCGCCCCGCGACAAGAGGCCCAGCGTCAGCGACCGACATCTAGCGCGGCACTCTTCATCGCAGTATTCACCTTCTGGATCCTGCTGTCCTGGGAATTCCTCATCTCCTACGGGAAATCATGGCCGCGCCGCGCAGAACCGCAGCTGCGGATGTACGCCGGCGAGTCCATCAAGTGGCGGCTGTGTGGTGACGTGACGGGCCACGACGACCTCGAATGCGGCACCGTGGACGTGCCCATGGATCAGTTCAACAGCACCAATTCCAGCAATGAGACGTTTACGATTCCGCTCGTCCGCATGCGCGGCAAGCACGCCAGCCAGAATCTGCTCATCCACACTGGCGGGCCGGGCGCGAGCGGAATCGGCAGCGTCTACAGCGCTGGCGAGAAGCTCAGCCGGCTCCTTGGCGGGAGATTTCACATTGTCGGCTTTGATGCGCGGGGACTCGGCGCGTCGACGCCCAGCGCGACGTGCTACGTCGATGCAGAGTCACAGAAAAGGCTGAGGCCGCGGCGCACAACAGACCTCATCAGGGACAGCCCCTACCTGTACGCGTGGTCGACCAACTACGTGCGCGCCTGCAGAGAAAATGCCGGCGAGCATCTCCAATACGTCAATACTCCGCAGGTAGCCGCGGATATGAATAGCATCATCGATGCCCTTGGACAGGAAAGCATGTTTTACTGGGGCATGAGCTACGGCTCACTGCTCGGCCAGGTCTACGCCACGCTCTTTCCTCAACGTTTAGAGCGCATGGTCATTGACGGCGTCCCGGATCAGTTCTCCTGGTTTGAGGATTTAATGGACGCGCAACGTTATGCTGACACTGATGCCGTCGTTGACGGCTTCTTTGAAGAGTGCGTCCGTGCAGGAGACGCCTGCGCATTAAGCAAATATGGCAAAACTGGTCCGAAACTCAGAGAAAACGTGACTAGTGTCATAAACTCATTGTACAGGAACCCGGCCAGTGCGTATGTGAATGGCTCGGTATATGGCATCGTTGATGACTTTGCCGCGCGAATCACGGGCCTCTTCCACGAGATGCACACGCCCAAGCGCTGGCCTGCGCTCGCCCCCCGGCTGGCAGATCTACAAGAGGGCAACGCAACCGGCATGTTTCTCGCCTACGTCAACGACGAACCATTTGGCAACGTGCCAAGGGCCAACCTTGTGGTTGAAATGAATGATGGCCAATCTGGACCGACGTTCTGGCCCCAGGCTCGAATACGCTTAATGGAGAAGCTTCTCCCATACTTTGACAAGTACCGATTTGCCCTCGGTGACATGCTGGATCTTCACGTCAAGCAGCAGTGGAACGTTCCTAGGACTCATTCCTACCTGCCAAAGCAAAGAGTCGAAACGGCCACTCCGCTATTGATTCTGTCGACAACCCATGACCCCGCGTGTCCCTACTCTGCCGCGCAGGCCGCGCAAAAGGTGTTTGTCGGGTCGCGTCTGGTTGCGCTTGACGCCTATGGCCATGCATCCATTGCCATGCCGTCGTTGTGCGTGGCACAATACATGCGTGCGTATTTTGATAATGGTAGTCTGCCTGAAGAAAATGTTGTGTGCAAGAGTGATGGGGTGTACTTTCCGGGTACCAGCGAAGAGAGTATAAGCTCTGCCAGTGCATCGCACACTGCAGAAGAGCTGGAGACTTTGGCTGCACAAAGGGCTATAGCGGGAATATACGCAGATATAAAGTATACCAAGTAAAATGAATCATGAGAATTATTCGTTTGCCCATCAAGTGTCGGGGAGGTATTAGTTGTGCTTCACTATAACAGCATCCGGCGTGACTCATCCTTCACCCTACAAGCATCCGGTGCGACGGACAGAGCGCCTTGGATTACCAGGCGGTCATCCTCATCTCCAACATGTCGCAACATGGAGAAATAATAACAAACGACGCCATTGTCCGATTCCTGGCCACAGTCGACAAGGTGCCAAAGCCGATCCGCCAGATTGTACGTAGCGGGGAAGGCGGCGAACATTTAGTCTGGATCATCAACGATGCTTTCGTTCTTCGTGTACGGGCGGACAAGCAAGACAGCACACCGCTGATTCGAGAAGAAGCAACATGGCAAGTGCTCAAGTCCATCGAGCCCAGCTCAGCAGTCGTGCCAACCTGCCTCGACATCGGCGTGTGGGATGAGGTCCAGCGGCCCTTTGGCTTGTATCAAAAGCTGCCCGGCGTGTCAATCGAGGCTTCCCCGTCCAGCGTCAATGCCGCGACAGAAAGTGACCTTGCGCACATGCTTGTCCTCTTCCAAAAGACACCCATCCAACGAGCACGCGCAGCAGCAGGATTACTCGACGCCGAGCCTCTCTTCCTTTTCGAGCTGTGGCAGCGCGCCCGCGCCGCCTGGCAACGACTCATTAGCCGCAACAATAACAACACCAACAACAACGAAAGCCATCTCGTTGTCGAGAATTTGTTGCCGCGCGGCCAAGACATGGATCAAGCGCTGCACATTTCGGAAGCCGACGCCCACGCCACCTACACGCCCGTCTTCTTGCACGCCGACCTCAAGGGCGAACACATCTTTGTCGACCCCGACACGGGCCGCCTCACCGGCGTCATTGACTGGAGCGACGCCTGCGTCGGGGATCCGGCCGTCGACATTCACGGCCTGGCCATTAGCGTGGGCGCGGCCGCCGCGGCGCGCATCGCTGCCGAAGCCGGCTATGGCTGTGATGTCGTGGCGCGCGGGACAGTCATGGCGCGCTGCGTTTCGATTATTTGCTTGGATGCGATCTTGCACCAAGACGACGACTCGCCGGAATGGCTGGTGCGGTTGCAGCTACAAAGAGCGCTGGAGCGGGTGTAAGTAAGGTGAAGGAGGGGGGGGGGGGGGGGGGAGTCAATCCGTGCAACAGCTCGAGACTTGAGCTTGAAAAGATGAAAAAAATGTAAAATATTGATTGTCCTTGTTAGCCAATGATATTCAAGTCCTTTGAATTATAAGTGATCGTCCAAGATCCAGTTAGCGTGTGTCCCATTTCACGATCGGCCAGGTGATCGTCCCTTTCTGGCCAGTCATCGACTTGTAACCCCGCAATGCTTGACAGCCCGAAATCGTTATACATCAAGGCATTGGTCATTTCGGAATACTCCATCTCATCAAGCCTATATCAGCTCTCTTTTATCATTCAACTCACAGATCAAGAATACTTTTTTTCATTCAACTAAACTGCAAAAATCTTACACAGCTCACAAGCATGGCGTCTGCCGCAAAGACCATCATTGCCACTGGCGTCACCTCGGGCCTCGCAAGTCCTTGACAAACCCCCCCCCCCCCCCACAGGCCAAAATGCCATCATTCTAATGCTATTCAAAGGGCTTCGAGGCGCTCAAGCAGCTCCTCCAGGCTCCGCAGCCGTATCGCGTGGTGCTTGGCGCCCGCAACCCGTCCGGCATGCAGCTGTCGCTCCGCGACGTCACCTTTGAATCCGCCAACAAGGTCGAGGTGCTTCCGCTGGACCTCGCCGACCTCAAAGGCACAAGGACGTTTGCCGAGGCGACCCTCGACGCCATCGGCGACGCCAAGATTGACTACCTTTTCCTCAACGCCGGCATCACGAAACCCGCCGTGGTGAATCCGCGCGGCTACCGATGGTGCGAGTCTGCCGTGGTGAATCATGTTGGTAAGGGGGACAAACACTGCTGGTCGAAGTTCGCAGTCTTTTTTTTGAAGTGAGATGTTGCAAAAAAACAAAAGCTGATTCTTTTGTGCTTGCCCCTCAGCTCAATTTTACCTTGTGCATCTTTTGCGCGAGAAGCTGGTGGCGTCCAAGTCGCGCATCGTATTTGTGTCGTCGGGCGCCGTGAGATCTGTTCCCGATCCTGGTAAGTTTTTTTGTTATTTCTTCTGCCAAATTGGCAGAGGCCATGTATAACTCATTAACCTGTGA